CCTCATACCACATCGTGGAAGAATCCTAAGTCTGATCCAAACCGGCCACAGTGGAAAGCAGGGGCTGGAGAGGAGGGGCTAAGCGGGCGCTGAGGGTCCACTGAATGAACTAATGGACGCAATGACATTTCTCTTGGGGTAAAGGTAATGAAGTGAGATCATATCAAACTTGGGGCTAGAAGACATGAGTTTGAACAGTGGTTGTGAGTTGCAGGGGGAAGGAGCGCATTCCAGATTGGGGGGAGGGAGCATGGTGTGAGCAAGTGAGCGGTGGTGGTGGTGGAAGAAAGGCATTTGGGGAATGGAGGGTGCATCAGTCCGGCTCCCTCCCTGTCCAGCTCCTTCCCTTCCCAGCTCCCCAACTTCTCCACTACCCCCCTTTCTTGAACTGGGCTGGGCAACACAATTCCCAACGAGATGGCACTTTCCCAACCACACTAACCAAAGACAAGCCCCTAAGCTTCCACCGGCTTCTCTGAGCCCCTTGGGGTGGGTGCTCAGGGGGGGCTGGGGGCTGGGCGGAGGAGCATCTGAAAGCCCCACTGAGGTGGTTTTGTGTTGTCAGAGGCCAATCCGATCCCAGACAAAGCATCCAGAAGTAAGAAGCAGATCAGCTTCGCAGTGGAGCCTGCAGACTGCCTCACGGATCACTGACACCCTCCTCACCCCACCCCGGACCTGAGACGCTGAGCCCTCTGCACCCACATTACTCCCCGGATGGGGAAGTGCCGGGAAGGTACAAACGGGGGAAAGAGGGAAGGTGGAAGGCAAGCTGTGGCCACCTTCCTCCTGTTATTGCAATGACTTACACAGGCTCCCCACCCCCACCCTCACTCAGGCCTGCCTGCTGCCGACTGCTGAAGGCCGCTCTGTTCGCTGGCAAAACAGCCATCACCCCTTGGCAGGCCCACTTCCCTCTCAACTCAGCCCAGCTCCCAGGCGGCTCCTCCAGCTGCCAAGAGGGCAAGGCCACGTGATCATGCCAGAGTAGGCACCTCAACAAGGGGGCGGCGCCATCTAATCAGCCAGTACTGGGCAGGTGAACAGGGTAGGGGCGGGGCCCAGTGATTTGGCCTGAAGAGGGGCAGGTGAACAGGGGGCGAGGCCAGGTGATGAGGCCTAGAAGTCTGGGGAGGACTGAGAGGACGCAAGAGGGGCCACGTGAAGATGGAAGGGATGCGGCCAGGGGCCCCCAGAAAGTGAATAGGCTGGAAGGACGAGGACCCTCCAGGGGAGCCTTTCGAGGGACCACAGCCCCCGACACCCTGGGAATTGCAGGCTTTGAGGCTCAGGGATGCCTCGCCACCTTGCCGAGCCCTCAGATACAGGAGGATGCAGGGTACCCCACATCCCCGCCCTGACCTCCCAGCCTTCCCACCCGTGAGGCTGGGCCTCTGCTTCCTGGAGCACCTGGGTAGACAGGAGCCAGCAACTGGGTTGCTGTGCCCACATTCTAGATGCCAAAACTGAAGCTCAGGGAGGGGGAGCAGAGGTCCCTCCCCTCAGCCCACCTCCCCCTCAACTCAGCCCAGTTCATAGGCAGCTCTGACAGCTGCCAGGTGGGCAAGGCCACGTGATCATGCTAGAGTAGGCACGTCAACAAGGGGGCGGGGCCACCTGATAAGCCTGAAGTGGGCAGGTGAACAGGGCGGGCGGGGGCAGGTGATGAGGCCTAGAAGTCTCGGGAGGACAGGAGGATGCAGAGGAGCCGCGTGAAGATTGAAGGGGTGCAGCCAGGGGCCCCCAGCTCCTGACACCCTGATTTCACATTCTGGCCCCAGAACAGGGAGAGCACACTTTCCTGTTTGTCTTGGGCAGTCTGTAGTCATTGGAGCAGCAGCTTCAGGAAATAGGCCTTACCTGGCTCCTCCTTTTGGGGCTCAGAGACGGGGAACAGATGTGTCTACCCTGGGAAGCCAGCCTGAGGTCATGTAATTTGGAGTATGCACAGGGATGAAGTTCAGAAAAACTGCATTCTCTCAGATCTCCGCCCAATCAGAGAACTGGCGACTGAGATTGTTTGCTGGGAGCAGCCACTGGCCCCCATCATCCCTAGGCCAGTCCACAGTTCTCTGCCGTCCCCCCCTTTTCCTTCTTCCCAGTGTTTTGTGCATGTACCATTGTAAAGAGAATGAAAACAAGTTTCTTTTCAGGGTGTTCATTGTTGAAATGCAAGTGATGTTTTGTGTTCACCTTGTATGCAGCTACTCTGCTGTTTCATTTCCTAGTTGTAATCATTTTTGGTGGAACGTTAAAGTTTCACACATTTAAAATGACATCTTCCACGAACAGACATGCCCGTAGCGTTGCACGGAGGCGCCCAGCTTGCCTTCTGGGTTGGCCCTCGCTCCCAGTTACCCTCTCTGGGCCTCTGTTGGCCTATTTGCAAAATGACTGACCCAGTGGGTTATTGTGAGGTCTGATCAGCAATGAACATACACACTTGGGATAGTCCGTGATGCCTGGCGGGTGTCCGACACATGCTCCTCATTATCAGCAACAGTAAGAGCAACGGCCTTTATGGGGGACGCTGGAGAAAGGGGCGGGCAGACACGAAGTCTGAGTGTAAGGGTAGCGAGGGACCACACGAGAGGCCCCATGACGTTCACTCAGTCACCCCGTCTGTCAACCCTCAGACTGAAATTGCCACTGAAATCTGCTCTGAGGCCCTCCAGCCACATAACCCAGGCAGAAGGGACCTGTCAGTCCCCTCCTTCCCCCACAGCCAAGGAAGTCAGACACTGAGTCCAGACATTTTAGTACAAGCGGTTTATTTGCCCCCCAGGAGGGTGCACATGTACCAGGCAGCGGTGTGCCCACCCAGCCCCGCCAGGAACCACCCAGTGTAGTTTACATGCATTAGAAACAGCTCTCTAGTCGCCAATGACACAGTGAGAAGTGAGAGCTTGACGGTGCAGTTTCTATCTGCACAGGACATGGCCACCGAGGGTGTGTTTATGGTGCAGGGTTCTAGAGGTTAATGCGGGTGAGTCCTGGCTGCCCTGTGGCCCCATTGTGTCCTGGGGGCCTGGCTGGGTGAGAACCACTCTGCTGTCCGTGTTTGCTGAGAAGGTGGCTCTTCCAAAACGCAACTAGAGCCTTGTCCCGAGCCGTGCCACCCCGTCCCTGCTTTGGCACGTGAGGCTGTGGGGGCTTCAGCGTTGGGCATTCAGAGCTGGCAGAACATTGGCGGCACCCAAGACCCTAACCCTGGCTCCTCCGTGGGCCATTTCCTCCTGGTGAATAGTGCCTTCTCACCCAGCAGGGAGTGTGGGGCCTGGGACAACGGGGTGGGGGCAGGGTGGGGGGGCGGCAGGGAAGATGACACAGTTGTTCAGCTTTGCTAAAACCTTTACTGACAAACTTGCCTGAAGACAAAAGGGAGGGGGAAGCTGGCCCGGGCCGGCCATTCCCCTGGGCGGGCTCCGTTCACACTGTTTGCCCTTCCTCCCCCGAGTGGGATGAACCCATATTGCCATCAAACAGCAGCTTAGGACAGGAGGTCTCACTGATCTTTATTTTGTTTAAAAATCCCGCCCCTGCCCGTAGGTTCTTAATGACCTGGCAGCGTCAGCAAGACCCGAAAAGGAACGGGATCCAGACCAGGTGTAAGGAGCAGCCGCATCTACTGTAAAAACTGTGCTCTGAGGTTCCATTCTTTGGATAATCCAAGTATTTAAAACACCGGGAAAAGAAGAGTTAGTCTCTTTCAGAGTGTCCGCAAATTCCTGAGACTGTCCCTGTCGGCAGTGAACGCACTCCCAGCATCGAGCTGGAATGGAGGTGGGGCGATCGAGGATTGCGGGAAGGCCGGGGGACAGAGCAGGCTGTCACCCACACTCCTACCAGGCCCCGGGAGACTGACTTGGACAGTCCCTGGTCTCACTGGGGACATCGCCTTCCTAAAGGCATCTCTTGATCAGCTCTTCCGCCTTTACCTGCAGGAAAACGCTCACAGGAGGCACGGTGCTGGCAATGGGTCCCTTGGGCCTGAGCCGGCCCCTCCTCGCTGCCAGTCGCCACCTGGAGAGGGCAGGATGTAGGAGTGAGCGGATCCAGGCTCCCAGTGTAGGGGTGGAGAGGAGGCCAGAGGAGGGAGAGGCTGGTCCAGGTGGTGGGCCCTCTGTCTGCCTGCGGCTTTGGTCAGGGTCTCAGCCAGGCCCAGGCGCCGTCCAGTCCTGCCATCCTGCAGGCGGCTCCCAGAGGCCTTTGGCTTCTATTGAAGACACGCAGCTTTCACTCGAATGAATCAAAACCCAGCCGGATGGAGGAGGCAGGCGCCTCTGGGGGTTAGGCCGGAAACTCATTCCTGTAGTGCCGCAGGTGCTCATCCCCGACGGACAGGTAGGTGGGCCGCATGCTGGGAGAGTACTGCGGGGGAGAGGGCGGGGAGGGGACAGCAGCACAGGGTCAGACATGTCACCAGCTAAACCGGACACTGTCCTCGCGAAGGCGCCGGGAATTTCTGAGGGAGAGCGAGCCGGGCCAGCCAGCTGTGTGGTTGTTACTTGGGGAGCCTGCCCACGCCTCCATGCTGTGGGCTCCTGGGTCTCCTCATGCCCCTGGCAATGGTAGGCAGGGGCGGGGGTGTCTCCCCTGGGGCAGGGCAGTCGCCGTGCCAAAGCAATGAGGGTCTCTGAGCAGGTCTCAGTTCTAGGAGGACGGCTGATTCTGTCCTCGAGCCCCGCAAATAAGGCCGGTCCTTGACTGTCCAATGGTAGGGAGAGTGGCCGGGGTCTTTCAAAGCAGAAAGTAATCCCCAAACCCTTTTTATCTGGCATCACGGGGCTTCGAGTAGTTCATTTCTCCCAGCAGCAGACCTCCCCTAACTCTCTGTGCTCAGACTGATACTAGAGTCAATCCACAGTCCCGGGGCCACAGCAGCTGGTGGCGAGGACAAGGAGCCCACGGGGCTTCGGGTTAAGAGAAGCCGGGCGAGGTTTAAAAGGCACCGACTCTGGGCCCGGCCTGCATGGCTCAGTGGTTGAGCGTCGACCTATGAACCAGGAGGTCACGGTTCAATTCCCAGTCAAGGACACATGCACGGGTTGTGGGCTCAATCCCCAGTGGGGGGCGTGCAGGAGGCAGCAGATCAGTGATTCTCTCTCAACATTGATGTTTCTATCCCTCTCCTTCTCCCTTCTTCTCTGAAATCTATAAAAATATACTTAAAAACATAAAGTAAAAGGAGCTGAGCCTGAACGCAGGCCTCCTCCCACCCCGTCTCCTGGCACAGGACCTGGATCCAGTGCTGTTTATCAAAGGACAGTGGGGGAGGCGCTCTGGGAGACACCCAGCAAGGAGGGGCCCCAGCCGGGAGAGTCAGATGGTGGGTCAGAGCAGATTCAACCACAGCACCAGGGACACAGGGCCGGTCTTCCTTTGAGGTGGGGGCCGTGCCGGGTGCTGAGCGGCATCCCTGGCCCCTACCCGCTAGATGCCAGCGGCAACTACCCCCAGATGTGACAACCAAAAATGCCAACAGACGTGGCCAAGGGCCCGCTGGGGCCCAGTCGCCTAGGGCAAGACCCGTGACTCAGGTATGGCTCATGCCATCCACTCTCCACAGGACCTCTCCAGGCCCGCAGAGCAGTGGGCACAGTTCCTCCCTGCAGGTCCCTAAGTATCCAGGGCACTTACTGCAGCAGCGTCCCCGTGCCCCCTGCAGGGGACACACTTCCTGAGGACCAGGCTGGGCACCCGTGAGCATCCTGGTCTCAGGGCCAGGCCTCCGCCACGGATCCCAGGTCCTGGGTCGCCAGGGCTCCTAGTTTACCTACTGGACGGTCCCGCCAAGCTCCCTGGATGGGGCAGGAGAAGCCCTAACCCGGCAGACACCTGGCCCGGAGCCCTCCGCACCCCCTGCTGCGGGAGCCCGGTTACCGTGGGCGGAGGCGAGCCTCTCCCGATGAGCGGCGTGTTCTCGTAGCGGGGGTTCCCACCGAACAGCACAGCTTGGTTCCTGCAGGGCCGAGAGGAGAGCTCAGGGGGAGGGCACGGGGAAAGGGCTGATTTCTACAGGAGGGTCCCATGGGCGTGCCTATAGGAGGGAGCGGGTGGAAACGGACTATGGGTAGAGTGAGGGAGTGTGGGCAGGAAGATAAGAGCGCTCGGGGTGGCCCAGGGGCAGCGGGGCCTGGAGAAATGCAGATTCTCGGCCCAGAGACCCACTGGGCCGGCTCGGGGAGGCCTGGCATCTCCAGTGGGTTCTTCCCTCCGCACACGTGGCTATGCAGGGGTCATGTGACTAACTGCTCCTGGGGGCCTTCCTGCCACACCCCATGGCTGCAGGGAGGGGACCACTTGGCCCTTTGGACCTGCAGACCCAGCTCCCTGTGGGTGAGGCGGCGAGGGGGGCCCAGGAGCCCTGCCGTACATGTACTCCGAGACCGGGGCATTGGAGACGGTCTGGGCCGGCGGCTGCAGGCCGGGCTGGCTGTCCAGGCTGCCACTGTAGCTGCAGAAGCTGGGAAGCCGCCCCCGCGAGGGGATGTAGGCGGCGATGCGCCGGGCCTGGGGGTTGAAGGGGTCGTCGTCATCGATGTCATTATAGTCTCTGTCCCTAGAATGACATGGGATGCGGCCGCCGTGAGGGGCGAGGGAGGCTCCAAGGCAGCGGGATCCTGGCCTGCTTCCCCATCTTTCCTCCCAGGACTCTGCCTCTGGCCACAGCTGTGTCCTTGACTTTCCTCTAAAACACGCTCCTCAACCCTGTTCCCAACCCCACAGCCACTGCCTCCAGGCAGCTCACCATGCTGACCACGGAACCTCCCTAAGCTGCTTCCTCTTGTCTGACCTATCATCTCGTCTGTCTACCTCCTCAATGAGACCTTAGGTGCCCGGGTAACTGCTACCATCTGTGCTTCCTGGTACCCTGGGGCACCCCTCCCGGAGGTGAAAACTCCCCTCATTTAGGTCACACCAGAGTCCTGTGGAGGAAGAGAGGGCCAGCAAGGGATGCCGGGTGGTGGTCTGATGCTGTCACCATCTTCAGACCCACTCCTGCCCTCTCCTCCTGCAGAAACCCAGGAGCCTGCAGGGGGTGAGTGCCTGCGCCCTCTGCCGCTCTTGTCCGTCCGGGGTTGTCAGTTCTCAGCTGTGTCAGAGCAAAGCCTCCCCCCTGCCCCGCCGAAAGCCCCCTCCAGGCAGCCCACCTGGTGGTAAAGCGCTTCCAGGCCGGCGGCCCCGCGCGGATCATGGTGGAGAAGGCCAGGGCAGCCAGGAGGGAGAAGAGGCCCAGGTAGAGCAAGCCCTCGATGCCATCGTAGCAGACGCCGGCGAGGGCGTCCAGGTAGTCCTGCCGGAGAGGGACACGCAGCTGGAAGGCGTGGGCACGGCCTGGGGGCGGAGCTTGTCCCTGGCAGCCCCTCTCCCTCGGCCTGGACTGGCACGATGACTACCTGCTCTCCATCCACCCGGATGTGAAAGCTGTTGGCCTAATCCCAGTGTGTTCCCTGCTTTAGTGTCCGATAGTTCAAATTCCTGGAGAGGAGCCTGGCCATGAGCCTGGGATGTCCACTTGCAACCCAGGGAGATGGATGGGATGACCAGGTGGCCGGGAGTGTGGACAATGGGGAGCAGCCGCCCTCACCGAGGTCAGGGTCCCCAGTATCCTAGAGGTGACCTGACCCAGTGCAGCCACCTTGCCCCCTGGTACCTTCCCGAGTCTCCCTGTCTCAGCTGCTGAGAGAACCAAGAAGCCAGGCACCTCTTCCACCTTCCGTTGTCCAGCCTCCTCCCCATCCCCCAAGGCTGCAGGACACCCGGGCAATCTCTCTTCTAAGCCTCTCCTGGCTGCTCTGGGAGAATGTGGCCAGCAGGGGTGTCCCCACCCCCCGCACGCCCCCCAGGGCCAGCCCAGCACCTTGTGCAGCCCTCGGCAATCCAACAAGGCCGTCAGCTGGTGGAGGCTGGACTCCGAGGAGTTCAACAGGAGCTGGATGCTGAGCAGATCCTCCTGAAGACAGACAGACGGACAGAGAGGCAGACACTGAGCGGTGGGGGCAGGGCTTGTGGCTAAGACCACACACAGCAGCGGGTGCACAGAGGCCTTTCAAGCCAAAGGAGCCAGACTACGGGGAGGGAACCCTCTCCACAGGCCCCGGGGCTCCCCCTCCTCTGCGTGGATGCTGGGGAGACCGCCTCACCTCCGCCGTGGGGAAGAAGGGCACGGCCGCCCGCAGCAGTTCCGCCACCTGGGTCTGCATGGCGGTCAGCGAGCGCTGGAAGACGGTCAGCGCCTGCACCAGGAGAGACCGCGGCCCCACTGTGAGGTTTCATTCCCCTGCAGCGCCCCTCCCCCGGCTGCATCTGCGCTCGCATCCCTGCCTATGGCCCTTCCCGCCTGCAGGAACCTTCCCCTCACCCCCAGGCTCCTTGAGAGCTGCAGGGTCCTCTTGCTTCTTGCTACTCAAAGTGTGGTCCTCGGACCAGCAGCACTGGCCTGGCCTGGGAGCTTGTGAGAAATGCAGACTCCTGGACCCCACCCAGACCCACCTCACAGCATCTGCACGACAACCACGCCCTGGGTCATGGGCATCATACACGCTGATGTGTGACCCAGGAGATGCTGACCAAGAGCACTGTCCCCTTCAGAGGACCACAGTGAAGCTGGGGCTGGGGGCCCAGGAGGGGGGCAGGCCGACGCAGGGGACTGTGGGCAGGGTGAGGGCTGGGCGGGTGCTGTACCTGCTGGAAGGGGCTGCTGACGCTCTGATTGCAATACAGGTAGTAACGGGTCACCTCTGCAAGGCAAAGACCAGGTCAGGCAGGAAAGGGACCAGGCCCTCGTCCATCCTCAGTGGCTGAGCCGCTCCCAAGCCCCCCAAGGAGGCAGGTTCTAAGAAACGGCCCAGCTCGGCTGGTGTGGCTCAGTGGTTGAGCATCGATCTATGAACCAGGAGGTCACAGTCTGATTCCTCGTCGGGGCACGTGACGGGATCCTGGGCTCAGTGTCGGGTGGGGGGTGTGCAGGAGGCAGCCGATCAATGATTCTCTCTCATCACTGATGTTTCTATCTCTCCCTCCCACTCCCTTCCTCTCTGAAGTCAATAAAAATAAATAACAATAATAACAAAAAGAAACGACTCAGAGGTCTAGCTGGTGCTGGAAGCGTGGGGTTTGGGAGAGACTGGGGACTCCAGGGCTGAAACAGGTAAGTAGAGGCACAGGCTGGCTGCCCAGGCAGCTCTGACCATGGAGGCCCACAAGCTTGTTACCTGTGCTGAGCTGGGTCTCCGTGATGTTCAGGATGAAGGTGTCGGGAGCCGCACAGAAGTCACTGGTGCCCTAAGCCAGGGAGAGACGGGAGGGGCGGGGCAAAGTCACCACACTAGGGCCCTGGGAGGAGCCCTGTGCCCCCAGCCCAGCCACTGGACCCCTCAGCTCAGTCCTGTGGCCAAGAACAGCCAGGAGCCAGGCTCCTTAGTTTGAGTCCTGGCTCCGCCCCTTCCTAGCTCTGTTGCAGGTGCCTTGCCTATAATATTCACTTCATGAATTAATGCACATCAAGCCTCCCATGTGTCTAATGCCTCTTCTGGGATGGACGTTGGTGAGCCTGGGCCCAAGGGAGGCTGCGGGATGGTGTCGGGTTATTTGCACCAGGGCCTCACTTGCTCATCTTTTCATTGTTTGTCTTGCTGTTATCAAGTCCCACACACTCCGGGGTGTCAACCCACGAAGCCTTCCCTCCAAAGAACCATGTTGGTGCTGAATCCATCTTTGAGCTTTTGGGCGCAGGTCCTGCTCAGGAAGACTTGGGGGGCTGGGAAGAGCACGGGGCTGGGAGTCAGAGGACACGAGCTCCAGGCTCTGCCACTGATGACCCACAGCATGGCCTGGCTGCTGACCACCAAGGCCCAGGGGCACCCCCACCCTGTCACTGGAGTGGCAGGAGGAGGGGAGCCAGCCTGAGTGGGGGGTGGGGAGAGGGCGAGGCCACCATCTTTGTCTGGGTCACCCCCGAGAAGTTTGAGATCCAAAGACAGGCAGGAGGCCCTGTCAGAAGCTCCACCAGGGATGTGGCCTCCTCGCTTCCGCCTCCCCCTCTGGCCAGGAGGACTCCCCTTGCCTGTCCACCAGGACACGGGCCCATGTGTGCACTGTCCACGCAGTGGGGACGGGGATGGGGTGGGGAGAGAAAGGGGGCGGAGCACAGCTAGGGCAGGTGGGGACGCCACTCAGTGCCCAGCTGGTGGCGGAGCCTGCAGGCAGCTCCCGACTCTGACGGAGTCAGCCTGGGACCCTCACATGACAGTAACTGTGATAACAGTGGCAGCCGCTGTTTAGTGAGCATATGCCCCCCCCCCCCCCCCATGGATTAACCACCCACCTCATCCTACCAACACACCATCCTCTAAGGCAGCGGTTCTCAACCTGTGGGTCGCCACCCCTTTGGGGGTCGAATGACCTTTTCACAGGGGTCGCCTAAGACCATCGGAAAACACATATATAATTACATACTGTTTTTGTGATTAATCACTATGCTTTAATTATGTTCAATTTGTAACAATGAAAATACATCCTGCATATCAGATATTTACATTACGATTCATAACAGTAGCAACGTTACAGTTATGAAGTAGCAACGAAAATAATTTTATGGTTGGGGGTCACCACAACATGAGGAACTGTATTAAAGGGTCGCGGCATTAGGAAGGTTGAGAACCGCTGCTCTAAGGCAAGGGCTATGATTCTCCCCATTTTACAGAGGAGAAGGCTGAGGCCTGGAGAACCTCAGTGACCTTCCCAGGGGCCCACTGTGGGGAAGGAGTGCCCGGATTCCCGGGGAGCTCCCCTCAAATGAGTGGTGCTGTGCAGCCAAACCTCCTAATGCCCCTTCCCTCCTTGGGGAGGTCCTTTCTGGGGGACAGAAAAGGCAGGAGTGGGTGACAGGGGGGCACAGTGTCAGTTCTCTGGCCCCACAGCTCTCAAAACAAAACAAAACAAAACAAAACAAAACAAAAGCCAGGCCTCAGAGCGCAGGGGCAGGGAGGCCACACAAAAGCTGCCCACAGTAGCCTTGGACAGCCTGCCTCCCCCCTCCCGGCTCCTCCTCTCCCCACTTCCTATTAAAATGCGGCAGGATCTGCAGCCAATCAAAGGCTCATTCACAGGCCCTGGCACCCAGGGGCCTGACTAAACCAGTCAGGGGGATGGCCTTTCTCTTGGCTCCCCTGCACTCCAGGCACCCGCTGGGAGATTATAAATCACCGCTGGGTTCCCTGGATGCTGCAGCCAGGGGAGAAGGAGCCAGGAGGAGGCTGCCTCCCATAGGGCAGCTTTAGGGGCGAGCTGGCTGCTGCCGCTCCCAGGGGCAGAGGCTGCTCGGGGGCAGGAGGAGGCCCCGGCAACGCACAGCACATGTGCGCGTCCCTGTGCTCACACTTGTCCCGAGGAGCGGCCGTGGGCCGGGCAGTGGTGCGTGTTGCCCTGGCCAGCAGCCACTCCCCTGACCACACATGGCCCTCCCACCCCCCGATGACGTCAGGATGCCTTTGAGCCTGACGTGCGCCATCCGACTTGCCCTTCCTTGTATCTGACGGGCCCCCCACCTTGGGACACAAGCTCACGCCTGTCCGGTTCTCCCTCGGGGGGAACAAAACCGACAGGAGCTGCCCGCCCCCTCTCCCTTCCGGACCAGCTCTGCCAAAAGCTGCCTGAGCCAAGCAGCACTGGGCCGTTCGTTCTCTGGGTCCTGTGAGCGCACGGCCAGGCCCCGAGGCCACTGGGCATAAGTCTGGGTGGAGGGCTTCCAGCAGGAGCCCATTCTCTTCTCTCCAGGTAGCTGGGGCCCTGGAATCAGCTCGGGGCTCCCTGAAACCCCTGGCAAATCCTGGGCCCCCCGCCACACACACACAGCACGCACCTCCGCTGCACCCATTCACCTGGGGTTGCAAATATCTGCCCACCAGTCTTTCTCCTGCCACTTAGAGCAGAGCAAACATGGCACCCGGCACCACTGGCTGCCACAGAGCAGACAACGGCCGGATGAACGAATGAACGACTCACGCACGCAGCTTAACTCCGACGCCAGGTCTATTAAAGCCCGAACATCTACACAGGAAGCTCCCCCACCCGGTGTTTTTATGTTTTAGTTTCTAACATTCTGAGGCGCCACATCCATACACACGCATCGCGGTGTCAGACTGTGTGAGAGGGAAGGGGACGGAGGCCAGCTCAGTGCCAGGTCCCCGTGCCCCAGGGTGTGCCGCTGAAGCCTGAGGGCTCCTCCAGCCGAGGCCAGACCCCGCCCGTCCCGGTCACTTCTTCAAGCCCGGAGAGCCGTCACCTCGCCACCCATGCACGTCCGTACAAGCAGGAAGCCGGTGGCTAGGACTGGGCCGGGTGGGGGCAAAGGTCAGGCTTCAGCTGTCTTATTATCGTGGCCAAAAGCCTCATGATCTTGGGGAAGCCTCTTCCTTTCTCTGGGCCTAGGTCCCCCTCTGAAGGGTGAGGGGGGCTGGTGCGGGAGATCTAAGGCCCTTCAGCTCTGAGATTCTGGGGTTCTAGCTTAGGGACAGAGACTGGGAGCAGACCTGCCCTGGGGACTCTGGGCAGGACACAGAGGTACCACCCACCACCCACCCCAGCCGGTC